CTGACATTCACTGATGAAAATAGGGGTGTCCTATTCTATTATTATTATTATTATTATTATTATTATTATACCCTGTCCATCTGACTGAGTTGCCCCAGCTACTCTGGGCAGCTTCCAACATACATAAAAATATAATAAAACATTAAACATTAAAAAAGCCCGCAGCCCTTCTCTATACAGGGCTGCCTGCATATGTCTTCTAAAGGTTGTATAGTTACTTGTCTCTTTGGGTAAGGGGGTTGAATAACTCCATACCCTCCAACATTTCTCCAATGAAAATAGGGACAGTCCTAAGGAAAAGCAGGACATTCTGGGATCAAACCAGATTCTGCAAATCTGGGACTGTCCCTGGAAAATAAGGACACTTGGAGGATCTGCTGGTGCAAATAGAGGCATTCTTGTGTTATTGTAACACCTTGGTTCTGATGCCAGGGCGTGGGGTGGAAGGGAAGCATGGCCAAATGTTTACTCCCATGCAAATATGTACCTGGATAGGAAGAAAGGTTGCCCACTTCTGTTTTACAGTATTGTGCACTGTATTCAGGAAGAGGCACCAACTGTTAGAGACCTGGGAGAGGTGAAGCGTATTATGTACACAGGCAAGATTTATAAAAACTCCTGAAAGACAAAAGAGAGAGTGTTTCACCATTCCTTGCTGAATGCGGATGGTTGGAGTGTGTGTTACTAAACCATTAATCCAAATTCTTACACAGCAATCTGTCATGTAAGTTTCTTTAAGCAGCTTGTGGTAGGGCTTTAAGATAATAATCTTTTCCTCTGCCTTTACCGAAACCTGGGGAAACATTGAGCAGGTTTTCAGAATGGGTAATGGTTTTGTTCTTGTTCTTTTCTTCGTTCTGTAGATTACTCTGAATAATCTTTAGCATGTATGAACATAGTTTATGAATTGCTAATTGCTTTTGGGAAATGACATGGGATGTAACCTTTAGAAGGGAAGGGGGAATAGGTTTCCAAGGGAAACGCTCTCTCACAAGCAATTACACTGTGCCTTGCCGAAAGCTCTTCTCCGCAGATGTACGCTGTGTTAATAAACTGACCATAAGTTTCCTTTAGAAAGAAATTCTTAATAGATTGTTTAATCTCACGATCAATCTGGCTGAGCTCATTGTAGAGTGACTGCAACTCAAATACAATGTTTTCTATCTGGATATTGGGTGCGTTCGCAGGGGCAAGGGGTGGGAGATTAAAAGAAGAGTAGTGCATAAAAAAAAAGCATCTTAAAAAGCAGAGACATCACCTTGCCAAAAAAGGTCCGTATAGTTAAAGCTATGGTTTTCCCAGTAGTGATGTATGGAAGTGAGAGCTGGACCATAAAGAAGGCTGATCACCAAAGAATGGATGCTTTTGAATTATGGTGCTGGAGGAGACTCTTGAGGGTCCCATGGACTGCAAGAAGATCAAACCTCTCCATTCTGAAGGAAATCAGCCCTGAGTGCTCACTGGAAGGACAGATCATGAGGCTGAGGTTCCAATACTTTGGCCACCTCAAGAGAAGAGAAGACTCCCTGGAAAAGACCCTGATGTTGGGAAAGATGGAGGGCACAAGGAGAAGGGGACGGCAGAGGACGAGATGGTTGGACAGTGTTCTCGAAGCTACCAGCATGAGTTTGACCAAACTGTGGGAGGCAGTGGAAGACAGGAGTGCCTGGTGTGCTCTGGTCCATGGGGTCACAAAGAATCGGACATGACTAAACAACAACAACAGTGCATCAAAACTCTCTCTCTCTCTCTCTCTCTCTCTCTCTCTCTCTGTGTGTGTGTGTGTGCAGCACCCAAGGAAAAATCTGCTCTGTATCTGTATCTACTCTGTATCTAGTCTGTATCTACTCACTTGATCAAATGCAAAAAGAGAGAGAGAAAGTGCTTTTGGTCCAGAAGTGGGGCGAGCTGCCCATAGGGGTGGGGCGCACCGCGGGGCCTTCGGAGTCTGCCTGCCTCCTCCCACTCAGCTGCCTCCCATCTAGGGGGGAGACAGCAGGCAGACAGTTTGGGCAGCGCGGAGCCTGCGGGCACCCAAGCCACCGCGTTACTCCCAAGAGAGACACGTGGCTCGGGCACGCTGCAGGCCCCGCGGTGAGTTGCGCCTGGCATTTTGCCACCCCCCTCAGTGGTGACGCCAGGGACGGTCCACACCCACCGCACCCCCTTCCTCCGTCCCTGCTTTTGGTTCCATTGTACTTGTGCAGCAATAGCAATTTGTGGGTGTTCATTTTGGGTAGACTGAGTGTGGGTAGCAACAGATTCTGCCCTTCCCCGCCACATGCTTTCATTAGAATTCCTGAAAATACCCCCCACTCAGTTTACCCTGAAGGAACTCCTGCAAAAGGCCTTCGTTTGAAGAGCCAGTGTGGACTATTAACTTGGGAGACCAGGGTTCGAATCCTCACAAAAGCCTTGAAGCTTAGTGGGTGACCTTGGGCCACTGTCACTCACAGAGTTGTTTTTAGGAGAAAAATGGAGGGGGGGCAACCACGTTAACCACCTTGAGCTCCTTAGAGGAGGAAAAGTTGGTTGTATCTAAATGTGGTAAATTAATAAATAAGTAATAATAAGTTTGACTTGCTCTCAAATCATTCGTTACTTTACATTAAGCAGAGATAACCAGAGGATCCTGAGTTTTGATTTGACAAACTCTGGTTAGTATTAACCTGAGATTTGGCGGACGTTTGTGCATTATTGTTTGTTTAGTATTTTATCTGATCCAAGTCCCTGAGTTTTGTGATTCTCCCCTCCCCCCCCGGAGGTACAGTTATTTACAGTGGTACCTCGGGTTAAGTACTTCATTCGTTCCGGAGGTCCATTCTTAACCTGAAACTGTTCTTAACCTGATGCACCACTAATGGGGCCTCCTGCTGCTGCCGCACTGCCGGAGCACGATTTCTGTTCTCATCCTGAAGCAAAGTTCTTAACCCGAGGTACTATTTCTGGGTTAGCGGAGTCTGTAACCTGAAGCGTATGTAACCTGAGGTACTACTGTATTGCTAAATAAAACATGGTCTTCCAAAAAATATGACAATACTTAAATTTATATCATCACTGCTCTAAAACGAGAATAAAAATCTGGCTATATGCTTATTAATTTGTGTATGTGTTCAATATTTAATTCACAAAACGGAGCTGTAAGAATAAATGACTTCCACTACTTATTAATGCAGAGTCCCTTTTTCCAGAATATATCTGTTCTGTACCACTCCGTGTTTATGTATTATTTAAGCAGGAAAAATATTATATATGACCACACCACTGTTCTGCAAAAGGTTTCACATCCACTGACTGCATCGAGGCTTCTCAGCGCACTGTTACTAATAATTTATTTCTTACTCGCTAATGCAGACTTATGAATGATTTACTAGCCACAGCAGGAGAAGGCTACATAATTCGAGAACAAAGCAGAGTAAGGATTTCATTCCATAATGGGTAGTAAACAAAATAACTTAATAACTGGAGTGACCCATTTCCTGCAGTTAGGAATTGAATTTGTTCTGTTTAAGACAGAACATTGGGATTTTACTTTTAAATTAGACATGCCGTCCTTAAAGTGCATCATTCTCTGTCATTTTCTTTCTTTGGGGTGGGGGTGGGGGAAAGGAAGACTGGTCACATGTGTCATTTGGATAGTAGCCCTCCTGGAAATAAGTGAGCACAAAAGATGCCGTTAATACCAAAACTGAACATTATAGCAAAATTGTTCTATAATGAAGCTAGGGAAAACCCACTTTTTTTTGGCAGGGACTGAGCATCCCTGTAGTGATTTGTTCCATCTGGAATCTCACAGCTACAAGAACACCCTCTGTATATTGATAAGGCTGCTGTATTAAGTAGACATACCGCAATATAGTTCCTCCCCCCCTCCCCAGTATAGCCACTAGTTGGATGCTCGTATTGGATTTGTTCTTTATATTGGATTTTGCCTCAATAAATTTTGTCTAGTTTGATGATTCAAGAGGAGCTGTTGTACTTGATTTCAGGGCCTGATTGCATGGTTGGTACCAGTAGCTGCCATTTCCTCCAACCCATTTCTGCTTCTTTCCCCCTCTCTTTTAGATAATAAACCAATAATAATAATAATAATAATAATAATAATAATAATTGATTATTTATACCCCGCCCATCTGACTGGGTTTCCCCAGCCATTCTGGGTGGCTTCCAACAAAATATTAAAATATAGTAGTCCATCAAACATTAAAAGCTTCCCTAAACAGGGCTGCCTTCAGATGTCTTCTAAAAGTCTGGTAGTTGTTTTTCGCTTTGACATCTGATAGGAGGGTGTTCCACAGGGCGGGCGCCACTACCGAGAAGGCCCTCTGCCTGGTTCCCTGTAAATTCGCTTCTCACAGTGAGGGAACTGCCAGAAGGCCCTCGGTGCTGGACTTCAGTAGAATGATGGGGGTGGAGACGCTCCTTCAGGTATACTGAACTGAGGCCAGAGAGAAATTTGTTTCTCTGCCGTGTTAACTTTCCAGCAAAGAGCATAAAGCCTGGAGAAATAAGTAGTAATTTAATTCAATTCTATAACACTGAACTGCTTTCTCGAACTAGAAAACGAGGCTGACAAATGGAGGGGGGGTGTAAATCACAAAAAAGATTAGTGGGACCTGCAACAAATTGTTGCAGCGTAAAGTGCTCCTGTTCAGGTTTCCAGACACTCCACCCCCAAAGAACCCTTCAGTCAGTATTCTGTGGCCACTGAGCATGCTCAGTCTTCATTAGGCTTGTGTTGTATGTGTGGCAGTTGCACTGCCCTTGACTTGTGGTTTGCAGCATTAATCAACCACAAGAACTATTCTTACTACAGTGGTACCTCAAGTTACATACGCTTCAGGTTACAGACTCCGCTAACCCAGAAGTAGTACCTCAGGTTAAGAACTTTGCTTCAGGATGAGAACAGAAATCATGCTCCGGCGGTGCGGCAGCAGCTGGAGGCCCCATTAGCTATAGTGGTGCTTCAGGTTAAGAACAGTTTCAGGTTAAGAATGGACCTCCGGAACGAATTAAGTACTTAACCCGAGGTACCACTGTATTAGCCTATTTTAGACGTACAGTGGTACCTCGGGTTAAGAACTTAATTTGTTCTGGAGGTCCGTTCTTAACCTGAAACTGTTCTTAACCTGAAGCACCACTTTAGCTAATGGGGCCTCCTGCTGCCGCCGCGCAATTTCTGTTCTCATCAGAGGTAAAGTTCTTAACCCGAGGTACTATTTCTGGGTTAGCGGAGTCTGTAACCTGAAACGTCTGTAACCTGAGGTACCACTGTTGGGTCTCTGGACCGTAATAAAGATTGTTGTTGTTGTTGTACTTTCAGTACATGGGGCAGGATCACACAAATGGTACCTGTTTTTGACCTCTAGATGTCTGCCTGAAGCTTAGAAAAGGATTGCACAAAGCGAACACTATTCATTTGAACCCCCTCAAATGAGTGCCTGGGTGTGGGAGCTCAGACAGTGTACAGCCCCCACCACCAGGCTTTGAAATAATCTTAAAAAAAAGGTTAATGTGAGATTAATTCTGGAAAAAGTTAAGCAACAGTTTGGGCATTACAGTAAAATGACCACTATGAATTTAGACATCCTTCCAAAGAGAAATAATTAAGGAAATATTTCTTGTTGCTATAAATGCAGCATGATTTGTAACTTAATTGTGAAGGTGTTTATAACGGGACGCGGGTGGTGCTATGGTCTAAACCACTGAGCCTCTTGGGCTTGCCGATTGGAAGGTCGGTGGTTCGAATCCCCGCGACGGGGTGAGCTCCCGTTGCTCGGTCCCTGCTCCTGCCAACCTAGCAGTTCGAAAGCACGTCGAAGTGCAAGTAGATAAATAGGTACCGCTCTGGCGAGAAGGTAAACGGTGTTTCTGTACGCTGCTCTAGTTTGCCAGAAGCGGCTTAGTCATGCTGGCCACATGACCCGGAAGCTGTCTTGGCCAGTAAAGCGAGATGAGCGCCGTAACCCCAGAGTCGTCCACGACTGGACCTAATGGTTAGGGGTCCCTTTACCTTTACCTTATAACGGTTACCTTATTTTTCTGAGCATGAAGCACATATGCATAGGATCGGGATAAATAGAGCACTATAGATACATGAAGTAGTTAAATTACCATTGAAGTGGAAGTAAAAGGGGGGAAAGGCACATTTGAATACAAGGTTGTTTTTATAGCCTGACATCGTCCAAAAATGTGCTTCTAAGACACTGTTTTACGCCAGCTAACAACAACAACAACAACAACTTTATTATTTGTACCCCGCCCATCTGGCTGGGTTTCCCCAGCTACTCTTGAGTTGGTACATCCTTCTTTTATTTCAATTAATTTTGCAGGTGATTTTCTCTAATTCCCCACCCCGCCCCAGGAGAGAAAGTCATAGTTTGGTATTCATGAATTTGTTGTCTCTTATTCTCACAGATCCTGATGCCACTTGCTATAGTGAGATGTGAAAAGAGGGCTATAGTGAGATGTGAAGTATGAAACGGTCTGAGAAGGCGCTGGAAAGATGTTTTAAAGCCTAATTTAGTTTTATATCTCCTTGGACTTTTTCTTGCAAAGTGTAATATGGCACAGTTTATTATTGCATACTAAAAACGACTGGAAGATACTGAAAATCTGCTCTTGTTTTCCTAGTTTTTATTTATAGCACAATACTGAACATGTGCTCTTTGAGCACATTCATCTGAGACGATTCGTATGCTTCTAAGCAGGTAGAGCTAGGATTGCAGGCTGCTTTACATATTCACCACCACAGCTGCACAAATGCATTTCATCATCAATGCTGGTGCAGTTGGTATGATGGTGGAGGAATGTAGAAAATTTCTTAGGGGGACGAGCAGTTCAGCGCGTGGGTGACTGCTTCTTCACTCTAGTCAGACTTCTGGGTAGAGAAGTGGTCAGCTCAAGTTCTTTCTGGAGGGCCTGCAGGTCATAGAATCGTAGGGTTGGAAGGGAGCCCAGGTGTCATCTAGTCCAACCCCCTGCAATGCAGGAATCTCAACTAAATCATACATGACAGATGGCCATTTAAAATTTCTGAGGAAGGGGAGTCTACCACCTCTTGTGGAAGTCTGTTCCCTGTCAAGCAGCTCTTACTGTCAGAAAGTTCTTCCTGATGTTTAGTCAGAATCTCCTTTCTTGTAACTTGAATAATAATAATGATATGATGATGATGATTTATTTATATCCCGCCCATCTGTCTGGGTTTCCCCAGCCACTCTGGGCGGCTAACAACAGAATATTAAAAATAGAATCAAACATTAAAAACTTCCCTAAACAGGGCTGCCTTCAGGTGTCTTCTAAAAGTTGTGCAGTTCTTTTTCTCCTTGACATTTGATGGGAGGGCGTTAAACAGGACAGGCACCACTACCGTTGGTTCAGGTCCTAACCTCTGGAGTAGGAGAAAACAAGCTTGATCCATCTTGCATGTGACAGCCCGTTAGGCATTTGAAGATGGCAATCATATCTCCACTCAGTCTTCTCCTTACCAAGCCAGACATACCCAACTCCATTAGCTGTTCCTCATGGTGCTTGGTCACCCTCCAAGATGATCAGAGAAGAGCTAATTTCTCCTTTTAGAGATCTTTTAATAAATTAAACATCTGGGGAAACCTCACTGGTAAATGTGGTTGCAACATAGACAGGAAATCTGTTAAGGCAGGCATGGCCAAACTTAGCCCTCCAGCTGTTTTTGGACTACAACTCCCATCACCCCTAGCTAACAGGACCAGTGGCCAGGGATGATGGGAACTGTAGCCCCCAAACAGCTGGAGGGCCATGTTTGGCCACCACTGTATTAGGGGAAACTCTGGTAACAAATCAACCGGTATCAACATAGCTATATTGCTAGGGCAGTTTTTTCTCTCTCTGCCTTTCTCAGAGTCAGGGCTAAAGCTGTTGTCATAACTACATGTAGTTGGGATTAACCTATATTGAACTCAGTGGTATTTCCTTCACAGTAAATGTTGTGGGATTGGTTTTTATGATCCAAAAAGTGCTTTGCAACCAGTGTTTATGGGGAAAAGATTTCAAGTGATCCAAGGTACTTGGTGTAAAGGTAAAGATAAAGGACCCCTGACAGTTAAGTCCAGTTGCGAATGACTCTGGGGTTACGGCGCTCATCGCGGGGATTTGAACCGCTGACCTTCTGATTGGCAAGCCCTAGGCTCTGTGGTTTAGACCACAGCACCACCTGTGTCCCCATTACTTGGTGTAGGATAGACTAAATATCCTCATAAGAATGCCTCCCAAGTTCCTTCCATTGAAATACAGGTTCTACAGATACTACAAAAATAAGGTTTATGAAGCCTGGAACGATCACCTGAATTGGGCAGTGTGGTTAATATTAACCATGATTTGGGAGAGCAAGGCAGGATCATAAACCACGAAGTTGGCTTATTTCCTTAAACTAGGGGTGCAGAGCAGTATCCAGGCAGCATGCAGGATCCTGGGGTCCCCACCATTGCAGGTCACTTCAACAGGTGGGCAGGGCTGATCTCATTGGGGTTTGCAACCATTGCTAGTCTGCTGATTGCTGCTGGCTGCAATGTCAGCTTTGTCAGTGATAGAATCATAGGATTGCAATTGCAGATGATCTGCAATTGGGAACTCCTGAGTGCAGTAGATCTCAGCAAGGTTTGTAGCAACTTCTGGTTCATCTGATTAGATTAAAGCACAATGATAAAACTAGTTTTTCATTCTTTGTTTGAATTGCTGGAATACTTTTTGAGTCTTTCTATTTCTGTCTTTCTTTTACAAAAATTAACAGCCTCAGAGCTAGGTGATAGGAGGCAGGAACATATAAACCCAAGACACATTCAAGTAATGCTAAACCTTAGTTCAGTGTTGTGTCTGAATGAGGCCATTATGTGTGTTCAGGAATTTAGGACAGGTTTTGAAATTGCTCCGAAGAATTAAATCGGTTGCAGTGACTCCTGCCGGTTAGATGCATTTGAAATGTTCCATCTGAAGAAAGTCCTTGAAAATATGAAAATATGATTACTCACCTTGAAGAAGATAAATGGGGGTAATAAAGAGTGACAGGATTAAGTGGACAGTTTGTAAAATGCAAAAATGCATATAAACAGTATGCTAATACTTATTTAAAGTCTTAGGAGGCCAACAACCTATTGATGTGGAAGAAAGAATTTGTGAAGATATTGATGGAGGATTGATAGCCCCCGCTTAAGTCTCATATCAAATTGCGTATTTCAAAGTCTCTTGCTGGAGATCACAGCATTTCCTATTTATAGCTCCCATGCAAAAGCACTCCCTATATATTTCCCATCATACCTATGCTGTCAGCTTATAGTCTTTTGTAGCATCTATTTCTGGCATCAGTTTTGGAAAACCATTTTGTATTCCATATACACTGTTTGGAGTTTACTTTGGTTTGAATGTATAACACTGTTCAAACACTACTATGCGTGTGTGAGTGGAAGAGAGAGACTCGCTGCTGGCAAACCAAGTTCCCACAAAACTAGGTTGGTCTGCACTGTCCCTACACACATTCAAACTGTGCATGTTGGCTTGTAAGCATGGTTTGTAGACTGTACTTTTTTCAGGGTCCCATACAGAACGTACAAGATACATTTATATTTGACCTCTGACTTGGTTTTTAAGGGTTTACCAAACAGAACCTCTGTCCCTTGGGGAGGGAAGATGCTCTACAAGTCCTTCTGGGTATCTTCCTTTAACTTCCTGCTGTGGTTTCCAACATCTTTTTTTGCTCCGTGTGGTTCTAAAGCTATTTACATCCCCCTTTCCAATTATCTGAAGTTGAAGACTCTTTCACAGTTGTGCTCTACTTAGCAAATGCAATAGCTGTGTTTCTCTCAAATTCTAATTACAGAGAATAAAATTAAATTGAATCCTGCTGCATAAGTGAGAATTTACATTTGAACAGAGTGACTCAAGCAGTAGGGTAGGTAGGGCCCAAGCAATTGGTATCCAAAACTTGTATCTAGAGAAGGTACATCTATTGTTTTAGGTTGAACTCAGTATGGACTATCAGCCATGATAGAGAACACATCTTTCTTACGCATTGTAGGCAAATTCAAGATTGCACATAAATTGCATCCCTAGAAACGTTGGTGACCTACATAGGTATT